TTTTGGCACATAGTAAATGATCAAGAAATGTTTCCCTCCTTCCTTTTCTCTTTTTCCGCCCTTCCCACTTCCCTCCACCTCTCCCTTTTATTTCCTTCTCTTTTCTTCCTTTCCCTCCCCTGTCCTCCCTCTTATTCTGGCTTCATGCTGCCTGGCCAGTGCTTTATGGTGGGTTGGGCCCTTTGTTCTGGTGGGTGGGGTTGCTATTCTAAGTACAGCTTGACTAGCTGAATAGGAGACTGGCTCCCCTGTCCCTAGCTCGTCCCCCAGAGCGCCTCCTCTGTCATTTATCATTGTGCTGGATGATGTCATGATGAGGATTATTGATGAAATATTTCTTCTGTTCGTTATGCTAAGCAGTGTGGTGAGTTTTCACAAGTGATGAGCCACCTTTCTGAGTTTTCATGAAAGGAAGGTGGTCTGTGTTGGTTAATTAGCATGGGGGGGAGGGGGCATGCCTGGGAATGCCTCTAACAGGCACCTGAAGTCCCTCAGGTCTTGTTTGATTGGGGTGTGGGCCTTAACAAACTACAGAAACATAGAGAAGCAGGTTCATAGTTTGATGTAGAAACTGTGTGAAGTTCTTGGACTGAGCCCAGAGTAATAGACTCAGATGAGAGCTGGCCAATGGGGGTATGGGGGTAGTCACTCTCCAAGTGGAACCCACCCTGCACCAGGGATGGCTCTATGGAGAGATCCCAAAGAAATGGGGCACGGGAAATGCATTTCTCTTTTAGAAAGTCAAATGAAACTGGAATTCTTCTACAGCTGATTATCCCTTTTTCCTTCCGCATTTGACAAGTGTTCATCCAGTTCAATCTGAAACAATTTGTCTCCCGCCATCCCCACCAGTAACCAAGGGCCAGATGGGTGACACAGGAGCACTTGAAGCTGCAGACTGGGGCATCTGCAGCATCCTAATGGTTGTCACACAGCCAGTGATCCGAACTGGTTCTAAGGATGCTCACCCTGCACCCTTGGTTTGACAGATGGAAACCATGGGCAAGGAAACGTCCAGTGTAACCCCTGCCCTGCAGGATACCTCATGAAAGGAAGAAGGTTTTGTTGAAAAATCTGTTCATTCTGCATTAAAAATAAAAATGCCTCTTTGGAATTGTACTTCCTTAGGAAGCAGGGAGCCACAGGAAACAGAACTGCTGGTCTTTGCTAATATATTTTAAATTTTTCTTCAAGGGCTACTTGTCCCAGTGATTATTTTTGTCCTGCAGTTCTTTCCCTTCAGGTTCTTTGAGTGGAAGCCATGAAAGTAATAGCATTTAGAGCAGAAGTTAAACCAGAGGACTGTTGGCCTCTGCCAGATTCCTGCCGAATGTCTGAGGCACCTGCCCAGAGCTCATCTCCCTTGGCTGCTTCTGGGGACTAATGTGATGGGCCCTGACCACAGTAAACTCACCTCGGCCGATCTCTCCTCTTCTCCTCCAGCAAGGATTGAAAATAGTTCACCACGCAGAGAAGACACTGTCCAGCTTCTGTAAGTGGCAGAAGAGCATCAACCCCAAGAGCGACCTCAACCCTGCCCACCATGATGTGGCCGTCCTTCTCACCAGGTACCCTAGAGCCTATGGGAAGCCAGGGGCTGCAGGGCAGGGAGGGCCGGCAGGCGGAAGGGTTGCCAGGTGTTCAAACTCATGAAATCCTCCTCCTCTCTGCTGCTCTTGGTCATTTGTAAAGGTAGCTCCTATGAACTAGACAACTCCTGACTCCCATACCAGTAAGGGGGCAGTTAGCAAACTTGCTAAATAGGACAAAAGTCTCTGTGTTAATAAACTGCATTTGCTGGTCAAATGCAGGCCTCT